GATTGGCACGCGAGGTGGGATCTCTTGTCGTACGTGTTCCAAAGGTGGGCCTATATGATGGCCTTTGATGGTAGGATTGCTTCCTAGTACATATGTTTTATTTAATCCCAGAGAAACTACTTCTATGTATCAAGCTGCCAAGGCGAAAGCAAGCCGCAAAGCCCTTCGCGCCGCCCAATTTTGACGAAAAGCAACCAACGACCCGCAACAGGTGGACCCGGCCCTCCTTGGCTTGTCGGCGGGAGCCGGTAACCCGCCTTCGAAGGCGTTCGCAACGCTCCAGGCTTGCCGCGCCCTCCCCGGCGCGGGCGTTTCGCTCGTGTCCACGCCACGAGCCGGAAAGAGCAACGCGGTTTCGGCAAACTGCAAGGCAGGAAGAGGTGGTGGGCCGGGGCGAGATGGAGAAGGGGAGGAGGATGAGGAGGTGCTTGAGGTCAGGCCACCCCCGGGGGGCGGCGGCAAGGTGCTCAGGCTCCGCGTCCTGGACAGTGTCAGCCTTCAGGTGAGAGAGGGTGGGAGGTTGAACACCTCGGAGTGGCCTGTGCAGCTTGGGCGAAGATTCGAATTCGGCTTGGTAAACCGCACCGAGATCCAGGCAAGAAAAGGAACAATGAGAAAAGCACGGTTTTTCCGTGTGTGAATACTGCACGAAGCACTGGTCGAGCCGAGTGCAGGGAGACAGAAAGATATGTGCCGAGCAAAACGAGCGAGCGATTGAGTGTGGTACTTTGGAGGGACGCGAGGGTCGATGGCATCAACGAAGGCCACTTGTCCGTGAGATTGAACAGGGTAAAATCCGTGGCATTTCGCCTCCGCGCAACCACACGCGCACGCAAAACTTGCTTGTTCGTGTTTTTGCCCGGATGTGAGACTGACGTCTCACCATTCTCAGCCTTGTTTTTTCGCGATTTTTGTCACGTTTTTCGACAAACAAATACGCACACACACGCACACGCACACGCACACACACACACACACACACACACACACACACACACACATGGTGCCGTGTTCCCGCCTGCACCCCCTTGCCCCTTGTCTCCCAGCTGTCGTGCGAGGTCCTCCCGACCCAAGCGCGCCTCCCCAAGGTGCGCTTCTTGCTTGCGGGTGTTGGCAATCACCCCGCTTCCCGCAGCCCAGCCGCGCCCCCAGCGGGAATAACTGCAACAACGACACCGCCAAGAGGCACCAGGCCCGAGCACCAGGTGCACCCGAGCCGCCCCATGCCAGGAGGTGGTGTTGGCATCGAAATCGATCCAAATGGTATGCGGGTGGGAGGTGGGCAAGGCTTGGGGGGAGCGAGGGGCAGCGGTGCGGGACTGCTGCGGTCCAAAGAGAGCGGGGGGTCATCGGATGGACGAGGGCGGGAAGGTGGTGGCGGAGGAGGAGGAGGAG